TTTTCTAAGGAGATATTGAAGTTTAAATGCCAAATTTCCCTCACTCTAGTTGACTGAAATGCTATGCAGTGTATATACTGGGTCCAACCTGTTAATGCTTTTATAAACCACAAGCATTCATTCATAATCCTAATCCAAAGTATATTTCAAAATCCTAACCACCAGTAACTTTTCAGCAAAGTGGAAATATCAGCAAGTGTTGCACTGGATCAAAATAAGCTGCAGGCCTCAGATCGCATTCCACATACGGAGCACATTAAGACGCCCGCCTGGCACACAGCTCCTCTTCAGACAGAGCGGGACTCTGACTCCTGCCACTCTCCTTTCTGTTTTTTTTTACAGCTTCATTACTCTGTTTAAATGAAGCCCAACTCTGATTAGTCAGGGATGATTGATTTGGTGTCTAACACAGCCCTCTGCCAGAAGTGACAGCAGCCATGTGGTGTCGTCATGACAGCCCCAAATGATTAGGACTCCTCCCCCCAGAGCTTGTGCTATTACCTTCATTTATGTTATTCTACAGTTAAGAAAATTGTGTTTTCCAGTTTTGTTGACTTCTGGGATCACATGATGCACGTTATGAAACAACTTTTCTTTTATCTGATGTTCCTGAGATCTTGAGTAGTTTGGAGTGTGCTGATTGGCTCTTTACTGTTCTTTGGACTTCAGGTATTTGCATGCTTAGACTCCCTGTTGTGCTGCAAAATGAAACCTCTAAATATTTGTTTTAGTAGATGTATGTGAATGACTGTCGTCCATAGCTTGCTTTTAATGACATGAACTTTTCAACTTGGCAAAAATGTATTTTTATTTATATACATGCTGATTTCATGTATTTCATAGATTTAAAAAAAAGACACACAAATGTGTCAAAAACTCTTGAATATCAGATGGAGCCAGCAGGTCAGGTTGTTTGGGGCTATTTGGAGATGGTGGTCCCCACGATTGTCTCGCCATGCTGGCTCTTGGCTTTACACATGTATTCTCCAAAGTCGATGGTTTCCATGTCCTCTACCGTCAGGATGCTCTGGGTGACGCGCGTGGTGTAGCCCATACCTCTGTTAACCAACCTCCAGGAAGTCTGGATGTGAACGGGTCGGGAGCCCTACACAACATGAACACATGATTTCCTCCCACTGTGACAGTTATCAGCAACAATAAAGAGCATAATTGTAACAAACTCATTTTACTTTTATCAAAAGAAAATAGAAAAATCCATTTTTAAAGGTGGCAACAGAATCTTTTACTCCTAACCTTCAGCTTTTAAGTAGAACATCACGTATACCACAATTGGGTTTTGTTTTTCTTTTTTAGGGCATCTGCGAAATACTCAAATGCAGTGAGTCACTTTTATGACAACAAGGCTAATGAATCATAAAAACACGCAACTAAATGATACCTTCTCTTTTAAAACCATTATTAAACTATCCATCCATTCGCTTCCACTTATCCTTTTCAGGGTCGCAGGGGCGCTGGAGCCTATCCCAGCTGTTATAGGGCGAGAGGCGGGGTACACCCTGGACAGGTCGCCAGTCTGTCGCAGGGCCAACACACAGGGACAGACAACCATTCACACTCGCATTCACTCGCACATTCACACCTAGTGGCAATTTGGATTATCCAAAGAACCTACCCCCACAAGCTGCATGTCTTTGGACTGTGGGAGGAAGCCAGAGTACCCGGAGGGAACCCACGCAAACACGGGGAGAACATGCAAACTCCACACAGAAAGACCCCGGCCTGATGGTGGAATTGAACTCAGGACCTTCTTGCTGTGCAGCAACAGTGCTAACCACCGTGCTGCATTATTAAAATAAAATAAAAAACCTAAATATATGAAGTCTAAATTTCAACCTCAGCTCTGTCCTGTAGACTTCTTTGTTGTTTTTCTAAATAGTAAAAAGTTGGACAGAATTATTATTATTATAAAAAGTACATTTTAAGGGCCTTTTAAAAACATGTTGTTTCATTCTTAAAAGCTAACTTTACCCATTTAAGGACTACGATGATCTTTTTCATTTTTAATACCTGTAATCGGGTCTGACTTTTAGTCCAGGATTTCTCTTACCTGACCAGGATAAGTCCAAGTGAAGCTCACGTCCACATCTGGCTCTCCCAGCACTGTGCAGGTTACATTGACGTTGTCGCCTCCTCTCACAGAGTCTGGAGAGGCTTCAAGGCTCACAAACGGTGGCCCACTGGGAACTGTCATCGAGAGAAAGATAAGTTCCATCTCCTTAAAGTATTAAAGTCATTTAAAAAAAAAAAAAAACATAAATATATATAAATATTTGATGGTATTCAAACTGTTGAACCATACTTGAATCTGGATTTTTCTCCACCTGCCAGTCGACCGTGCCACAGCAGCTTAACTGTATCTAAACCGCACAATAGTTCCATTGCATAAATCTGTCCCCCTTTTGCAAAATCCAGACTGTTTCCACTTTAGTTGGCAGGCGTCCACATTAACCAAGCACAGCAGTGAGGATTAAAGAGGCTCTTGACATTTTTGAAATACAACCCTTTCCTGGAAGCCAATTTAAAAAGTAGACGTCGTAGAAGTAACCAGCGCTTGATTCATAACATTGCAAAAAGTTGATTGTCACCACTTAGAGTCAGTAAGATATATGGTTATGCGTAGCAGTTAGTTTCACAGAACAATAGTTAGTGTTTCTACATGCAGCATGTTTATATCTTCTATTACTGTATTTATTCATGAGGTGTCATGTGATTGATTTGTGCTCACCCTCCACATAAAGCAGCTGGTACTTTGTGGAGATCTGAGGGGTGTCCATGGTCTCAGCCTTGCAGTAGAAGACTCCCTGGTGCTCTGGCCTCGGGTTTTGCAGGATGAAGCCCTTGGTGGGATCATATGCCATCTGGGTCATATTTGCTGTGATTTCCACCGGGGGGACCTCTCTGTGCAGGGATGTCTTGGCCTGTGGCTCGGTCACACGGCAGGGAACCACGGCAGGCTGGTCTGGGCGTAGATACACAATCTCAAAGTGCATGGTGGATGGAACGAAGAGGTTGTCTTTGTCTGTTTGGAGAAAAAGTTATTGATATTTTTGTTAAGAACTTGCCCATCCCAGCTACCATAGGGCGAGAGGCTAGCTATACTCTGGTCAGATCGCCAATCTGATGCAGAGCTAACACAGAGATACAGATGTTGTTACATTAACACCTATGGCCAATTTATTGGACAGTCTCGGTCGTTGTGTCCTTGAGTTTGAATGAGTAACTCATCAAAGTCAATCGAGTTTTTTGAGTCACTGAGTCAGTTGATATTTAATCTGATTTCATATGAATCATCATGGAAATGGTGTTTAAAGCACTGAAATATTTAAGGGAAAAAATTAAACTTGTACAGTAAATGTACAGTTTCACTCAAACTTAATTTGTTTCTCTTTTCATGTAAATCCTACTGATTGAAAATGCTCCAGTAGTAATGCTCCTTAACATTGGTTGCCAACCAAGAAGAAGAAGAAGAAGCTGTGAGCCAGGAGGGAGGGGGTGAGTAAGTGAGTGATTCGTTTACGCTACGATTCAGCACAGGAAGGGAGGGGGTGAGTGAGTCCTGAGTGATCCCTTACGCTACGATTCTTCGTAGCTTACCAAAGTTGTACTAAAACATTTTTTGACAAAGTTTTTGAGCACCGTGTACCACATAAAGTGTGCCTTATAGTGCGGAAAATACCACAAGTTAAAAAGCAGTCAAGATCCAAAGAAAAACTTTGAGAAGACCTTCAGAAAGCCTGGAAAATTATTGCTCAAGACCACTTTAAAAGGTTAGAAGAAAGTCTGGCTCCTTGGAAGCAAAATATAAAGAATTTTTAAAATTACCTTTGAAATAGATGTATGAGACGTAGGCGCGATCGTGGTCCTTCTCACACTCTGTGCCATCACATACTATCACCCAGCAGCTGTAAGCCCCCGTGTCGGCAGCAGAGGGCGACGTCAGGATCAGCTGACTGTACTTGTCGCTTTGCTTGATGCTGCAGGCGAGAACCAAAATATAAGATGCTCGGATTTAATGATTCACTGCATGAAGTAGTTCGTGTTTCCTTCCAGCACCTGAGGCGTGAGTTATTGAAAGTATCCAGGTAAGTCGGGTAAGACCATCCGATTTTGCTGCCTTTGCAGCGCAGCTCCATGTTTTTCCCAGGAGTCAAAATGGTGCTCTGGCCCAGGCGGAGGAAGCGGCCTTTATCCAACACCTGCGTCAGGAGTGAATGGCTTCTGCCTCGTCCGTCTTTCAGCGTAGGCCACACCTTTACCCGTTTCCCACCTGGCCGGATGCGGTTCTCTCCGATGTCTTTTCTTCGCTTGACCTGCTGGCAGGCACCTGCAAACACAGAGCCATAGAGGGCAGAGGGGAGAAACTAATAATAAATAGATCAATAGATAGATATGATAGATGTAACTTATATATCTATAACTTCCAAGTCTGATAAAGAAGCCAACAGGGAAAGTGCAAAAAAAAAACCTGCAGTTCCTACGATGGCCACTTGGGGGTGGCTCAAGTTAGTCCCCAAAGACTTTCATTTTAAAATGACCAAAAAATTAACTCATTTATACCATGATATAAATAAATAAATAAAAACCCTAAAATGATCTAAAATGATTGTTAGGGTTACAATGACAATGTCACAATAACACTGCAGCTCTGTCCATTTAGGTTAGCTGCTCTTTCTCCAGCTGCGGTAACATTAAAACAGGATGTGTAAAAAGTCCAAGTTACTGGCACAGTATGACCGTAGCTGTTCCTCTCCTTTTGCTCTCTTGTTCTCTGTCAAACACACAAACCGTTAAATACAAGAAAAATCAGCCTGAAGTGTAGACTTTCAGAATTTGTTGTTTTATTCCTCAGAGCTGCATTAATGGAAACTCAGAGAGAGGTCAGTAGTACAGGCCAGATAATTAAAAACGCCTGCTGCATACCTTAGATCCAGCTGGTTTGAGTCGCTCTGCAGGAGCACTTTAGGAAAAACTTTCAAAAACTCAAATCCTTTGCATGCTTTTACACTTTCCATACATAAAATGCAAAGATTTTTTTAAAGTCAGTGGCTGCAGACCTCAGAGGGAGTGTAAACAGAATTTAAACTTTGCAGTTTGTGAGTGAGATCTACTGCATGATTGCACCTCCCATTCTACGCCCACCACATAGGCCGATGCTCCCAGCCAGTCCTGATGCATCCTCAGATTGTCTCATTCTCCCTCTTCTGCATTGTTACAGCCAAAGCTGTCGTGATTACGTTAACAGCCATCTTTCTTCACTAACAAATTGACATGACAGATGTGGAAATGGAGACTTACCATTTTGGAGCTCTACCACGAGCAGAGTCAAGCAAAGCACAGCCCAGAGGTTCATGGTCAGAGGGTCGAGGAATCTGCAAGTTCTGGAGAGAGATCGGGGGGTTTTATGAAGGGGTGAGGCGGGTAAAGAAAGTCAGGCTTGGAGCTTGGCTGGAAATTTGCAGGCTCCAGTTGCCCTATTTAGATTTCCAGCTCCATCCTCCTCACAGACTGAACGGAAGAGGGAAAATAACTTCAGAGCTCCTCTGTTTACTCCCATTTCTCTGATCTGAAGAGCAGAAACTTGTAGTTGGAAGCCCTCTGCTGGCCCTCAGTGTGAACTGGCCTTCTTTTAGACAAGAAAATTCAAGGCACATGCCCATACGTATATCGAAGGAAAGTGAAATATTAATAATGCCTCATTATGAATAGCTAGATATATGTACCAGCATGTAACCTGAAAAAATGTGAGCAGTTCATTGGGAATCCAGAGAGAGCTGGAGGGTCTTTTTTGACTTAGTTTTCTAATTATACCTTTTTATTTTTGTGTCATAGAACAAGGACTTTAGACTTTTAGTGGGAACTTCATTGATGTCATTGTCAATGTTTTCATGAGACTGAAGCACATCTGCAGCCGTCACAATGCTTCTTTCTCTGATTCTTGTGTTTTTGCAGAGACAAATCCTGAAGAGGATTACTTTCTTTGAAATGAGCTTAAAAAGCATAGATTACAACAACAAATGTAAGTATTTCTCTTTGCATAGAGTTTAGATGTGAAAGTGAGCTAACTTTTAATAATGAGTTTTCGTTCTTGAACAATTTTTGAGCAGCGCCCCCAAGTGGAGAGTGTGTGTTTATGGACACTCCTGTTTTTGAGAAGTTTCTGAGGAAAAAATACAAACTAAAAAGTTCATCTTCCTGTGGAAATTACAAGCGATAAGACACATCTGACACTGTATTACCTGAAAATACATTTTATTTTATTGTATTTGTGCAGTTGGTGTGACACTCCATTACAGCATCTTCTGCAGTACGTTCTTCATCCTGTACCCTTATTGCAGTCATCTGCACGTCAGTGTAGAGCTTCTTTGTAGCAGAACACCTTACTAACACCTGCTGAATTTGTTTCACAGTTTTTAGACCACGGAGCACATCGATGAACCACAGCTTCAATGCTCTATGGAAAAATGAACTCCAAGGAAAACACCAGCAGTCCTTAAAAGCCAAGAGGAATGAATACAACCACACAAAATCTCTTGAAACCAGTTACAAGCCGTTTAAAAAATACATATATACATGAGGAATGAGGAGCTTACTTTATATACAGGAATACTTTTTAGGCAGCGATGACAGAGGACATTTTCATGAAGCTTATATTAACAGCATGTCTACATCAAAATATCGCAAAATATCAGACAAACAGGAAAATATATGTGATAGAGTGAGAGCTCTGCATCAAATAACTATCTTTTTATTTATGTAGTAACAAGGTCAACAAACTCCAGGGGAACCTGTTAAATAAGACCACAGCAACAGTTACAGAGATCTCACTACTTATAACAGAGGTTTCTATGGGTTGTTACATAATACTACACATGGCTGAAAACTACCACCAACAATTGGCGTGCTTTCAGGTGAGTCACGTCAGGACATGTTATGTGTCTACAAAACTATTTCACACATTGTACATTTCTCTGAAAGTCTTGTGATTATGATTTATACACAGCTAGTAGAATTATATATGTAATGATCATCCGAAAGGGCTAACAACCAAATGCTGCACTGAGCTACTGGTGTATCAAACTCTACATTGAACTTTACATTGATACCTTACCTGTACAAACCTGTCAGTGTATGGAAAAGCTTCTCTGCAGCCTTGCACTGACTGTTTCAACGCTAAAATAAATGAAAATCACTCTCCAGTGTGTTACCTGTCCATTCTCCCTCCATGCTTGTCCACAAATGTGACTCATGGGATGTGGTCCCATCCCAGTCATAGAGCGATTCCTCATCATGTGCCACTGATACGTAATACTGATGCTGCCTTTGCAGACTGAATGTGCTTGTGAAGCACACACGGTGAAGCTGTATATACAGGCACATCCAGGAATAGCTGCTGTGTGCTTTTATGCATCTGTTCCCTCACACAGTCTGTGAAGGAGCCGGCAGCCTTTAACACTGGCTGGTCTTTTCTGAGCAGATGAAAGACTCCTGTTCCTTTCCTTCTGCATCCACATTGTCACGCTTCTCCTGGTTGCTCCTGGTGTTTTCCTGTGCCGTGCCACTTTGAAGCTGGAGCTGGCGCTGACGCTCTACACTGTGCCACACGCCATACCCAAAGTAGATCAGGAAGCCTGAGAAAAGTGGTGATGAGACAGGGGGAGATGTGGAAAAGAGCTTACAGGGAACCGCTTGACTCTGTTCAAAGGTAACCAAAGTAATCTACCAGCATATCTAAAGCTCTATTATATCTTCATTGCTTCCTCACTTTACCCTTACAGATTAATTTCCAAAGGGAAACCTTAAAAGCTTCAAAAAATAAACTAAAATTGAACTGCAGCCCCTCAAATTGCCATTTGAGGGTGTTTTCAAGAGTTATTTCCTGCATATCCTCTCATGGTAAAATGTACAAATCAACAGCAGAAGTAAACAACTTTACATGCTGATGTTTAAAAAGACAAAGAAAAGGTTATTGATTGTTAGCTTAGACAATAATCAAGGTTATTTAGCGTTGGTTTCTGAAATCTCATTTTGAAACTTTGATCAAATAAACAGATATGGCAAGGAGGGATGAGTATGACTGCGAAACCATTTGCTCATTGGTCAACAACATGTGATTGATAAGTAATTAGCCAACAGGTAACTCTCCTTTTAACATAATATGACTGAAATTTGCAAAGCAGATTAAATATTTATTTCACTTGAGCCACGATCAGGGTGATTGTGGCTGAAGAGTTGGCCGGTTCGAGTCCCAGCTCGGACAGTCTCGGTTGTTGTGTCCTTGGGCAAGACACTTCACCTACCGCCCACTGGTGTTGGCCAGAGGGGCCGATGGTGCGATATGGCAGCCTCGCTTCTGTCAGTCTGCTACAACTGTAGCTGCCTCCACCAGTGTGTGAATGTCAGAGTGAATGAATAGTGGTATTGTAAAGCGCTTTGAGGGCCCCGAAAAGCGCTATATAAATGCAATCCATTATTATTATTATTATTATTATTATTATTAATATGACCCAAATATACTTCCTTAAAAATTTGTATTGGCTCATGGCTAAAGGCACTCACCAGCAGCCATCCACACAGAGAAACGTATCCAGGTGTCTCCACTCAGCTGAACCATCAGGTAAATGTTGACAAATATGCTTAAGATTGGCAGAAAAGGCAGAAGAGGTACCTAGAAAGGAAAAATCACACCAAAATAATCCGTTTTAGATGCTGTTATCTCATAACAAAAGACCTAGTGTTAAAACCAGAGTTACAGAGCCAGTGCGTACCATGAAGGAGACCTTCTTCTTAGTCTGAGGCTGCCTGATGACCATAAAGATGCAGCTGCTGAAGACGAGCAGACACACGGACAGCGAGGCCAGGATCCACACTTCCAAACCCAAAACGGAGTTGATGTGGTATGTGGTGAGATAGCTGATCACACACACCACCAACACTGTGGATTGACGACACACAATTAATTGTGACACAGAAACCTTACAAACAGACTGAAGTCAATCAGGAGAAAAAATCCTCACTGAGAACGTAAACTGTGAACTTACCTAGAACGCCAGTGGACATGTTGACAACACTGGACGAACGCTCGGAAGGTGTCTCGGGAGGGTGTAGAATAGTCTGCAGTGTGGAGCTGCCTCCCTTTAGCATGTTGAGGTGGGACTCTGACTCTGTCAAGTCTGACTCGCCCTCTTCAGACGCGAGGCAATCCCTCTCACCTTTACTTGCCTGCTGCTCCAGAGCTCCATCTGGCTGATACCTGGAAGAAAGAGAAATGTTGGTTTTTACTGAGGTTTAAACTCCAGATTGCTCTGCTGTAAGGCGGTGTTATGTTCTGATGCAGTCTCAGTGTTCTGCACATCTATCAACTACTGTATGTCTTTCACAAAAGCGCTAGACTTTTTTAATTTAAATGATTCAGTTTGACTGAACAAGCAAAGTGTGTCCGTGTTTACTGATATTTGTGGTGCAGGCAACAGAGGTGTGCAGCAAGTTCAGTTTAGCAAGTAAACATCTTTATTTACTCAAGCAGCCACTGAGCAGTGTACAGTCAGACCATTCACAGCCCTTACATCACCAGTGTGATGCAATAACAAGCAAGGCAATCATTCCTGTGGGCATCTGGGAAAGCTATTAGCGACGCTCCTGCAGGATATTACACAAAGATGATTCTGCTCCAGTTAAATTTTTGAGTTATTTAAAAATGTACCAACCTGAGAAGCAGTACACACACAGCAACCAGCGAATAGGCCAGCAGAGTTCCAATGGACATCATGTCCACCAGGGCTTTGAGGTCAAACAGGAAAGCCATGATGGCTAAAGTAAGCAATAAAAGAAGAAGGAAAGAAATGAACACAAACACTTTCACCCTTAACACTTAATTTCAACAGGTAGGATCATTACTGATTCCCTTCACAGTCACAGACCACGATCCTTTACACACACATACAGTAACATGGAAAAGACATTTCCTTCTAATTGAACGTGACAGTCACCAGATGCAAATCAAATTTCATGCAGATGTGTTTTCACTAGAGCACAACAGCTGTATTCATCTCCATATTGAGTCATTTGATGTGAGATATACTGCGGTGTTGCTTATCTTGTATCTCAGCACCAGACTTCAGTATGGAAGTTTTCTCAGCAGCATGGTTCAGACACAGAGCAGTGGTATGTCCGCTGCTTCTCACAACATTATATTAAAGCAAAAATATCAAGGAAAGCTCCCCTGCTTGGTACCGTCAGGTGCTCAGTACATAGCCTGTGGTGGTGGTGGTGCAGGTGTGCTGGGTCTCTCCCAGGGTTCACATCTGCCAGCCACTTCACAAAAGTGCAAGTCTAAGCTGGATGAGTGCGATCCACAGCAGGAGAGCTTTAAAATACTGCGAGAGCCAGTGTTAATTCTGTCTCACAGTCATTTTCATCATAGGTTTTGCCTACGATCCTTTGTTTTCTAACAACAACAAGATGCTAATTAATAAATACGAATACACGAGGACAAAAACTATGATGAAATGTATCAACGCTTTTGTCAAGAAATAATCTAATTTGAGTCAACTGAA